GCATCCCAGCCATTTGCGGATTGAAGACAGACCCTTTACCCCTAATGTGTCAGCGTGCATTTCCCATGAACAAGGGCATTCTCTCATATCACCACGGTGCTGTGGAAATGAACAAAGACCAACCAAATGAGAAAAGCAAAGGCTATTTATTCTGAGCTTGCTGTAGCAAGGGAGTCAGACACCAACACTTGGGTTTTGGTAGAGACTCAAAAGCAAGCAGAGGAGTGGGAAAGCTTATAAAATGGAAAAAAAAGGAAGGCTTCGGTGTGCCCTGGTTGGAGGCTGTTGGCCAGGGGAAGTAGGAGGCAGCTACTTAGAAGCTGTGTGTCCTACGTGATGGGTTGGGGGTGTATCCGATTGGTTGGTCCTAAATTGGAAGTAGAGACAAAAATTAGGGCAGCTGTCAGTTACTAGGCAAGTCCAGGCCATTTTAGGCTTATTATTCTAAAAGTTATTGTTTAGCTTCCTGGATTCTTCCTAGAGATAGAAATCTGGCTTCCTGCAAGTCTGACTTTAGCAGGCTGGCTTCCCGGGCTGGTTATTATACCACTACCCCAGCCCAAACTGCAACTGAGGATCATTGTCATGTCTCTTTAATCTCCTTTAATCTGGAATCCTCAGCCTGTCTTTGTCTTTCATGACACCGACATTCTTGTAGCATACAGGCCACTTGTTATTGGTGAGGACAGCCTTGAAGCCACACATACATCCAATCTGTCTGTGAAAATGCATCCACAGCCAGCGCCCCTCCAGGCCTTGTTCCTTCAGTCTGGTCATGAAGGCGCTGGGAACTGTTTGGGTTTATCCAGTTCATGTAACTGGATAACCAGTACTTCATTGAGGACACAGATAGTCACGTCTACATGCAGGGCAGAGGGGAAGCTTGTAAACAGAGAGTGGTACCCACGGTCATGTTCTTTAGCAGCTAATCCTTCAGAAGGCCAAGAGAGTTTGTGAAATAGGTCTTGGTTCCAATTTTGGAAATCTGTTCTTTCATTAGCTCAGCCTCCCTCTGCACTTTACATGAGTAGACATTGGGATTTTCCCCTCCTTACCTCTCTTCTCTGCCACCTCTCTGCTCCAGTTTCCCATCTCTGCAAAGATGCCAGAAACATTTTCCAGACCCTGAGTGGAGAAGGTTGGGATGTTGTTCCTGCAGGATGGGGTACTGTGACAGCCATGTGTCCCAGGATGATTGAAATTAGCCTGTATTCTTTAAGAACATCACGGACTCAGAGAAAGTTTTGTTTTGAGCCTGAATGACTTTTGGGGGCAAGACTGCCACTCTGAAAACATTCACCCCTCAGTGACTCCAAGCTGCTGTCAAAGGGCAATTTCTGGGTCTGTCAACAGCTTGGATCATAGTTAAAATCCTTCTATCCTCATCCCCCCCCCCCTTTTTTTTGGGCAGCTGGCCGGTTTGGGGATCTGAACCCTTGACCTTGGCGTTATAACACTACACTCTAACCAACTGAGCTAACCGGCCTGCCCTCTCATCCCTCTTAATACCCTGAGCAATAACAAGTTTTTATTTATGAGGGATTAACTAAAATAAGTTTGCTGTGTGCAGCGGTTAAGTTTATGGTGTTTGGTGTCAAATTGTTTGGCTTAAATCTTTGCTATCTAACCGTATGTCCCTGGGCAAACTACTTAACCTCAGGTTCCTCGGTAGTGAAATGAGGACAATGTTAGCTGTTTTATAGGGTCAGAGTGAGGATTAAATGTCATGATAAATGATGGCATTTAGCACAGTGGTTGGCAAATAATAAACCCTCATTGAATGTTAATCATTGTTTTTACTTTGCTTATTGCTGAAGTGGAAAGCTAGAATTCATTTTCTAAAACTCATTTTGGGTGGCCGCTGTGGAAAGAGTATGGGTTTTAGTGTCACCCAGATGTGGACTTAAATCCTGGCTGTGCCCATCACTGGCTGGGTGATGTTGGACAAATGAACCTTTTCTGAGCCTCAATGTCCCCCATCTGTAGAATAGGAATGGTAATACTTTGCCAATTTGTCATTAGAATCCAAAAAAGAACCCATGTCAAGCACCCAGCACAGTGCCTCGAGCACTGTGATGCTCGAGCAGAGCAGATGCTGAATAAAGGAGGCTGTTAGCTATTTTCTTCTTTTCTCTCCCTTCTGACCCCTCCTGGACACACATCAGTGAGTTTCATTTTTTGAACAGGAAAGAGAGCAGCTATTTTGACATGTGCCAGGGCACTGATGGGATGAGAATTCCTTAGGATAATTATTACTATAGCTATTTACCATTTAATGGCACCCATAAAGGTCTAAAAAGCTCTTACCAGGTCAGGCTCCTTGCAACTTTTCTTAAGGCCCAGCCAAGGGAAGAGCGTGCAGTGGAAAAAATTAGTTTGGTATACCTTGTCCGTTCCTGGGGGTCCCAAGCCCTCTGTTTCCTGTGGTTTAGCATGGTCTCCCACCAGATTCCTGTCCTCCCTTGAGAGACAGAATCCTCTAGCTCTTTCCCTCCTCATCACCCTATTTAAATCACTGGTCTTTTGTGGCATCCTTTAGGGCCTGTGTGATGACGGGCAAGCTAAGCTGGGAGACTCATTGGAGCCCAGGGGTAATGGGTAACAGCCGATCAATGTGCCACTCCTTTCAGGGAATTTATTTATATTTTAAACAAAGGACTTCAGTCTTGGAATCCTGGATATTTTAGGGTGAAGAGAATTTCCAAAGTTTGCACTCATTTTCCTGTTATGGTCAAGACCCCACAGTTTGCAGGAAGGCGTGGGTTAAAAAGTCAGGTCTTCTGACTCTGGTTCCAGATTTCTTCCAATCTCTAGTGGGAAAATAGGTGAGGTGGGAGAAGAGCCTTGGTCAGATGGACTGATTCCGTCATCCTCCTCCTCTGCAGTGAGCCAGGGCTGAAGGCTGGGCTGTGCCTCGAATGTCAACCCCCTCCCAAATGTGCCTCAGCAGCAGCCAGTAACTGTTTGGACAGATGAGTTTCAGGTTTCCATGTTTTTATTTCATGTTGGGAGGGGAGGTAGTTCTATTTTCCAGATTTTAAAAATAAAGTTTGTTCATCTGCCCAGGGAAGAATGAATAGATTCTGAGTTCCAGGAAAGGTCATTTTTATTTCAAAATCCAGGTCTACTCAGTTAGACTCACGTTAAGAATGAACTCTCCCTGCCTCGGTTGCTGGGTTCTTCTCAGGCACCTGAGATAGCCCCTGCGGCTCGTCTGGGTCTCTCAGGTGCCTGGTAGAGAGAGGGGAGCGTGCGTGCTTTCAGCCCACCCACCTCACTGCCAGCCTGCATGTAGCTTCCTCTGCTAGTTACCCTGAGGGATTACTTCTACGAGGTTCCTACTAAATTGGAAACTGGAGCAAAATAATAAAATGATCACCTATTAATGCTAGGAAAGAGTGAAGCATCAGATCAGTGAGGCAGGGAAGGGTCCAGAGGGAATGGGAACAGGGAAAGGTATGTTTGGATGGAAGGGGTGGGTTGATTAAAGTTTAAAGAAAGAGGAGAAAACACTTCCAGAGCATAAGTTTCTCCCTGAATAACCCACTTCTAGGTGGGGAACCTTGACTGGGGAACAACTGAGGAACAGAGGGTGACATGAAGACAGAGGGTGAGGTAAGGAGAGAATGTTACTAAAACAGAGTTGGGAGAAGGTTGCCCAAAGCAAATTTCACCTGCTTTACAAGTTTGTTAGCATTGACTCCGCATTGGAAAACTTCACGGTTGTCACTTTGTGACCTATTAAATGCCCAGTTAAGTAGTATTCGCCTCTGGACTGCCTGTGGGAAGAGGTGAATAGTCCACCAATTAACTTTCACAAACTTTTTCTTTTTCTTCTTCCCAGATAAATCTTTAAGCAGGAAAGAACACAGAGACCTTGACCTGATTCATGCCTAACTAAAGCAGGACTGTGGGAGTCCAGTGCCTGTAAATCATGTTTGCTATCTGAACTCCTCAAAGAAAATCTTCCACTGAGGCCATTGGCCTCGGCCAGGGTTCACACGCGCTGACCAGTCCTTTGAAATCTCGTCTGCAGATAAAGGCAGGGCCCCAGCGGGCCTGTCTTACTGAGAGAATCCTGTTGTCTGTGATATAACCCAGAAGGATCCCCAAGGTGTCTGATGACATTTGCCTTTTGGAGGAAAAAAATATAACAAGGATTATAACACATTTTACATTGTCTTTTAAAGAGAGACCTTTAATCCGGCAATCCTAGATATTTTAGGATTCTAAAATTAGGAAGAAGATTAAGGCTTCAAGTTCAATTTACATTGATTTATGGGTTAATGAGGATTCAGCCACCACTATCTCCTCCACTGAGTTTTATATTGACATGGGCTTTTTTTAAAAAAACCCTGAAACCCAACCAGATTTGAGGCTACTAATAGCCAAGACTGGATTGTTAGGGGCTCAAGTCAAGGCTGGTATGGGGGCACAGGGTGAGGAAAAGTCTGAATGTGTGTGTGTGTTGGTTCTCTAAGTCGAGTATCAAATCATAGCTTTAGTACATGATGTCAGAATCATATGGGGTGCTTGTTTAAATCCCTGCTTAATATACTCCTAGGTTCTGCCCCAATCCTACTGAACCAGAGATTTGGATCAGGGGTGACCTAGAACTTTACGTTTTACCCAGTATCTCCATGTGATTCTAATGCACACAAAGATTGCTTTTAATGAGACTCAGCTTCTAAAACTTCTAATATGTTTAAATTTCAAATTCTTGGGAAAGAAAGACTGGTTATGTTCCTATTATCAATTGCTGAATAACAAATTGCCCCAAAACTTAGTGGCTTAAAACAATAATTATTTTATTTAATGATTTATGGGTCAGACATTTGAGCAGTACTTGGCTGGGTAGATCATCTCTGCATCAGCCTGGGCTGAGCTTTCTTGATGAACTAGGCCTGAAAGATCTACTTCCAGGACGGTGTGTTCATGTGACTGGCAGGTTGGTGCTGGAAGTTGGCTGGGGATTCAACTGGACCGTCAGTGGGGAGTCTTCAGCTCCTTTCCATATCGGCCTCTCCATGGGGCTGCTTGGGCTTCCTCGCGGCACAGCAGCTGGGTTCCAAGAGACTAACCAGTGAATGTTCCAAGAGACTAAAACGGAAGCCACAAAACCTCTTCTGACCTATCTTAGAAATCACTTCCACCATATTCTATTGGTCAAGAAAAAGACCAAAATTCAAGCATAGGAAAAATAGACTTAACCTCTTGAAATGAGGAGTAGCATATGCATAGAAGGAGCAAAGGAATTGATGGTAGTCATCTTTGAAGACTTTCTACTGTACCCTGCTTAGGTCAGTTGTTGACCCCTGGATCAATCAGTCATGGACATGTGGATGGGAACATAGTGTAGATTTAGCCACTGGGGGCTCAACCTCGGATATGCATTGAAGGGGGAATTGTTAAAATCTTGCAGGCACCCCACCAGATGTCTGACTATTACAGAATCTTATAGTTCATCTAGTCTGAGCTGTTGCTCAAGTTAGGAATTTCCCTTGGGCATTGGTTATCCATCCTTTGCTCAAAGTCTTCTGGCCTTTCCATGAGGCAGCCTGTTCCATGTCGAGACAGTTACTGCTGTTCAAACCTGATTCTGGTTCTCTGTAACACCTACCTATCACCCACTACAGAAACACTCAACTGTGGATTGTTTTCCTGAGTTTCTCCACTAGGCTCAACCTCTTTCAGGCCTGGGCCTGTGTATTTTGTGTATCCAGCCCCAGTCCCTGGCACATAATAGTTGCTAAGCAAATGCATGTTGGCTGTTCTTGAGTAAATTATGCACATTTCCCCCATTTACAATGATAGTGAAGTTGACTTTGATGTGGATTTTGAGTCTTCATCAAATAGTTCATTATTGTCATTATATTTTCTCCAAGCCAAAATCACCTGATGTAGTTTATGGTTAAAATGCAAGTGATAAATCAAATGAACACTTTCCTAAATATTGGCAACTGAGGGTAAATTCTTTAAAATCATAGGAGAAATTTCACCATATTGGAGCCAGAATTGAAATAACTGTAAACAGGAGCATTATTTGTTTTGTTGTCGTTTGGTTTAAAGCAGGGGTCAGCACACTATGGCCCCCAGGTCGAATCCTGATTTTGTAAGTAAAGTTTTATTGGAACGTAGCCACGTCCATTTGTTTTCTTACTGTCTATGGTTACTTTTGTTTTGCAACAGCAGAGCCGAGTAGCTGGGGCAGAGACGATATAGCCCTGAAAAGCCCCAAATATTTACTATCTGGCTCTTTACAGAAAAGTTTGCCAACACCTGGTAAAGGTCTCTCCTTGACCCCTTTGCTCATTGTTATTGTAATTGACAGGGTTGAAGGAGTCTTATCTCCATATTTCTACATTTCTAGACTTTACTCCCAACCGAAGAGGACTCTTTCCCACTTAGCCCATGGTGGAGACTCTGATGTTGCTGAACTTCTTTGGCAAAAACAAAGTAAATGTCCTTTACTTGACCAGCTAATAAGAACAGACAATGAACCAGCATAAGGAGCAGAGAACTTTTAACTTAATGGAAGAGCATGGGTTTGGGAGCCATAAAAATCAAACCCTGTAGCAGACCTTTATTATTCTTTTAGCTGTCTAGGATCCAGTCCTTCTTTGTTTTGGTAATAGCAGTTTATTTACTTCTTCCCTACTAAGTGCTGTCTTGGTTGACCTGCCCTACTCTTAGACATGTGATCCAAGCTAGGGCACTTTACCCAGAGAAGAATAGAATGTTAAGTTGATTCATGCCAGTGACGGTGGCCTGCAAGACTATTTTCTATCCCTTCCTGTTGTCTAGAGTCCTGGAGTTGCTCTGATCCCTGCTGCTTTTCAAGCCAGGTTTTCCCATCTTCCCTTTAATTCCATGCACTACATGGTATTCTTTTAATACTCCCTTTCCAATTAAAATTAATCAACTGGCTTCTATTGCTGGTAACTAAGTGATGCAAATAACTAATAATAATAATAAAGTGAAGAAATGTCCCAAGAAATGCAAATCAGAATGAGTACTTTTAGCCTATTGAATTAACAGAGATGTAAACAATGATGATACTCAGTTGTGCTAAGAATGCAGTGAGACAGCCATCCACATGAACTTTCACTGAGGTTGTTAATTGGTGTTTCCTTTCTGGAAATTAATTTTGCAGTACGTGTCAAGAGCATTAAAAAAATTCATACCTTTTAACCTAGCAATTCTATCTCTAGGCATTTGTCCTAAAACTGTAGCAGGACGTGGAGATACAGATTTATGTAGAAAGTGTTCACTGCAGTGTTATTTCTAGTAATAAGAAATTGGAATTTACTTAGATATTCAACATTAGTAGGATGGCCAAGTAAATTAGGGATGTGGTATCATATCATAGTTAAAAGTATGGGCTCTAGAGTTGGTCAGCCTGGATTCAAGTCCTGTTCTGCAGCCAACCAGCCATGCACTCTTGGGCCAATTGCACAGACTTCCATCTGTAAAATGTAAACAAACCGATATCACCCAGTTGTGGTAGCCAGCCTTCCAAGGTAGCCCACATTGATACCCACTTCCTCCTATTCATATCCTGTGTAGTTCCCTCCCACATTGGAGAGGTTGGCCTCTGTAATCAATAGGATACTGTAAAATGACAGAATGAGACCTCTGAGTCTGGTCATAAAAGGCACTGTGGCTTCTATTTTGATGTCTTTTGGATTACTCGCTCTGGGAGAATCCAGCCACAATGTTGGGAGGGCACTTAAGTAGCTCTATAAGATCCATGTGGCAAGCAACTGGGGACTCTTGCCCCATTAGTGAGCCATCTTGGAAGTGGATTCTCCAACCTCAGTCAAGCCTTCAGATGAAACATGCTGAATAACTGGCCGACATCTTGACTGTAACTTAATGAGAAACCCTGAGCCAGAACCATTCAGCTAAGCCACTCTCAAATTCCGGACCTACAGAACCTGTGTGAAATAATAAATGCTTATTGTTGGTTTAAGCCACTAAATTGGAGTAATTTATTATGTAGCAATAGATAACTAATACATCACCTGATAGGGTTGTTATAAGGATTAAATAATATAATGCTCACAAAGTGCTCTGCAAATTTGCTCTCAGTTAATAGGTACTTTATATCTATTAGTTTTTATTATTATTTAATACATCCATATGATGAAATATGATGGAGATAATAAAGCATAAATAAATAAACCAAAACGTTAACAGTAGTTATCTCTGGGATGGGATTATAATAATTTTCTTATATTCTTACATTCTTATATTATAGTATAATATATTATATTATAATAATTTTCTTATATTCTTATAATATATTATATTATTATAATAATTTTCCTATATTATTATAATCCCATCCTGGAGGTAACTACTCTTAATATTTTGGTTTATTTATTTATACTTTATTGTCTTCATATTTCATTGTATGGATATATTAAATGATAATAAAAACTAATAGATATAAAGTACCTATAAATTGAGAGAGACATATCCCATTTTAACCATATTACACTTACGTATGTATATATATTTAATATCTATCTATCTAATCTATCTAATACACAAACGTGTGTGTGTGTGTGTATAATAATCCTCTCCCGCATTGAATGGAAGAAAGAGTGGAGGCCTAGGGACCAGAGACATGGTATCTCAGTCAGGGTTCTTTGTCTAAAAGCAAAAGAAACCACCTCTGGCCAATGCACACAAAAAAGGAGTTTGTTGGAAAGATATGGACTAAGTCCCAGATTCCAAGGGAAAGGTGCAGCGTCAAGCCTCAGAGAGCCCAGGGCAGCAATCAATACCTAGAGCTTCTCCCGGGACCACTACTGGGAGCATCCAGCTCTAACTCTTGTTGGTCCTTGAGTAAGTAATTCCTCTCTGGATATAGTTTTGAGGGACAGAGAAAGTCCGGCTGGCTTAGCTTGGGGCATGCGCCCTTCACTTGCCTTGGGGAAAGTGGGGCCCACCAAGTCTACAAGCAGTGGGGGAGGGGTGCATGGTTTTCTAAAGCAAAACCGAGGTGCTATTACAAAAAGACAGGGGCATGAATGACCAGCAGGAAAAATAATGTATATCCACTATACCTGGGTTCTAGTTTCAGTTTTGAAACTAAGTACCTGTATGGACTTAAGTTAACTTCTGTAAACCTCAGCTTATTCATTTGTTAAATGGGGATGATGCTGCCTGACCTGTGTTTTTAGGGAGACCAAATAAAGTAAGTGAAGAATTACAGGTCCACTGTCCTTATCTGAAGTCTTAGGAGCAAGATGTGTTTTATGTTAAGAATTCTCATCCTTCAGTAATGAGAGGCAAAATATACTGTTGTGTGGATACAGTGTATCAGTGGATCAGTGAATACAGTGTATCAGTGGATGTGAAACACTCCACTGGGATCTGATTCAGCCCCTCATGATCAAACAAAGATATTCCTACATCAAAAAGTATGGGATGCACCTAAAGAGGGACAAATAAAAACTAAAAATAGTTCTATGTCAATTTTTGCCATCAGGCTTTGCTGCCAAATGAATTTGCTGCAAATATACAGAAAGAAACAAACAAGCCAAAATTTGGTTTTTAGAGTTTTTTGGATTTTGGAATTGTGATAAAGGATTGAGGATATGTGTGGTTTTTATCATCCTAAGTTAATTTCTTCCCAAACATTTGTTTCCCATCTTTTCTAGTTGGTCTCTGGTGATCTTTTCCTCCTTTATTTAGATTGAAGAGGAAGAGACCAACATGGCTTCTGTCACTCTTAGGAAACCCAAAGAGTGGTAGGTTGAGGCACTGGAAAAGCCAGTGTTCCAACTCTAGTTGGATCTCTCCCCTTATGAATTTAGTTCTCATTTCTGGGTCAGCACCTGATAGTCATGACCCCAGAGGAGACCAGTGAATCATCCAGTCATGGGGTTTGGAGGTGATTCAGCAAGATTGAAGTGGAGTCAGGAGTGCTTTTGGCTGAAGTTCTCTAAGGTACTGATTACACATCCAATTATGCAACCGGTCCTGGGGCCCACATTGTGGTACAACCTGATTCTCACCCAGACTAAGCATGTGAAACAGGGCCTTGGAGCCCAGGGAAACTGTTCCTGCCAACATGGTTCTCTTTCCTCATTTCAGAGGATGGAAGATGGACTTAGAGCCACCTCCGTCCATATTTACCCTCTTGACCTTGTCCTCTTCCTCTGAACCAAGGTCAGAAATGATTTGGGGGACCCAGAAATGACCTGTCTCACATCCTTTTGATGTGTTGTCATCCCTCATGGTGTGGGGGGAGACTTCTCCAGGCTGAATCAATTCCTAATGTCTAACATCCAATAATTAGAGACTCATTTATATGGAATAAGATTTTATCTCTGTTCTTGTAGGCAGTGTAGGACCAGAAATCATGAGCTTGGGTTCAAATCCCATCTCTGCTGCTGACTGTGAACTTGGCCAAGTCGCTTCATCTTTCTGAGCTTCATTTTTATCAATTGAATTGGGGAGGGGTGGAGTGGGGGCTCCACTAGCTTTAATATCCTAGAATTATCTTTGAGAATGCTGTCTATGAACTCTTTCCCTCTCACTCTCCATTTGTCCAATAAATATTTATTGAATATTTGTTGTGTGCACTGTTTTAGGCATTGAAGATAAACAGCTCTGCTCTTAGCATATATTCTAGTGTGATAAGGCAGAAAATAATCTTAAGAAAGGAAATGGGAGGTATTGGTAGGTGCTACAAGGTGCTACCATGACTACACTAGACGGTGGTCAGAGATGGAGGTGGGAATGACCTTGGCATATTTGAACACTAGAAAGAAGGCACTGGGGCTGAAGCATAGTGAGTAGAAAGTGTTTGAAGAGAAAGTCAGGGGTGACCAGGGCCTTGTAGATCAGAATAAGGAGTTGAGTTTTGTGCTGAGTGTGAAGGGAAACCAATGGCAGAGTAACATAATCTGATTTACACTTTAAAAATACCACTCTGAAATGTGATACAGCACTTCCCATCTACCAGAATAGCTAACATGAAAAAGACAGACAATACCAGATGTCGTTGAGGATATGGAGCAGCTGGAACTCTCATACACTGCTGGTGGGAGTAGAGATTGATACAACAAGTTTAAGAAACTGATTGGCTGTATCTACAAAGCTGAATTTGTGTGCACCCCATGACTCAGCAATTTCATCCCTAGTTATGTATTCAACAGATATGCGTACAGACGTTCACCAAAGATACGCATATAAATGTTCATCATAACTCCAAATGGGAAACTATACAAATGCCCACTAAGAGTCAAACAGATACATGAATTATGGTATAGTTATATAATTCAGGACCGTAAGCAATGAGAACGAACAAACTGTGAGTGCACATAACAACATAGACGAGTTTCACAAACATAATCTTGAGCAAAAGAAGGCAGTCTGAAGAGTTCAAACTATTCACTTCCATTTATGTGAAGTCCAAAAACAGAGACAACTAATCTAAGGTGTTGGAATCAGGATAGTGGTCACCTTTAGAGAGTCGAATTCTGAATGGGGATGCAGAAGGGCCTTCTGGGATCCTTTAATGTCCCATTTCTTGATTTGGATACTGGATACATGAATGTGTTCAGTGACTTTCTCTAATCATCCATCTGCTCCTGCTTCCCCAGGCTGAATGGGCCTTGAGTATGGAAAAGTGGAATGAAGAACGTAGGAGAATATTTATCCCTGGCCACTGTAGACCACTGTCTGCTTTTACATGTACTACCCCAGTTTTCTCAAGAGTGTTGGGCAGATGAGGCTCATCCATTTTACGGGCAAGGACACCATAGCTTAGTGACCTGCCCATGGTCCCATGGCCAGTACAGGGAGGGCCTGACCTCAGACCCAGGCCCTCGCATGCTTTACTCCAGGCCTGCTGGTGCTTCCATTTCTCCATGTGGACTCTCTGGACTGCACCAAGTGAACTTCAGGCCTCCAGCAAGCTCCATGGCTTGGAAATGCATTTGCATTTGAGAATTTGGGGCTTGAAACGAATTCAAGAAACTACAGTGTTTTGACCATTATCTTTGTTTACACAGATTTATCTCAAATTACATTTTTTTTAAGAAATGTTTTTTGATTAAGGTTGGAGGTCCATTAAACTCTGGGGGAGAAGGAGTGGTTTTTAATTCTCGGATTTTCTCAGCCTCACTGCATGGATATATAGAATTGTGTGTGACACATTTTTATTCTAACCACAAAATTTCCTGGATTTCCAGTCACTGAATAATGAAATAAATCATCATTCCAGATGAAAAGAAGGGGGCAATTTTAAGGGCAAAAGCATTTCCTTGAAAACTTTTTGAGAAACTGAGGCCTTGACCACACTCACGGGGACTGAGCCCTCATGGGATAAGTGTCCTGTGTCTTGGGCATGGAAGACCAGGTCACTGTGTCCCCATAGTATGAAGGTCAAGGGTCTGAGGTCTGTTGAGTCTCTGTTTCTATAAATCAACAGCTTTCGCTAATAGCTAAGCACTGTTTGTTAAATAGGCAAATAAGAGAGTTCTCTTTTCGGCCAGTTGAAGAGATGGAGTGTGGGGCACCAAGGCAAAGAGCATTGGGTGGGCCCTTGGCTCCCATTTTATTTGTTATCTAATCAGGTGGAGGCTGTTTATTCTCCCACATGTAAAGGAACTCTTGGGTCTGGAAGCACCGTCAGAATTCTTTTAGGTGGGAAACCATTGAAAGGATGTAAACAAGGAAGACATCTGGCCAGATTTATCTTTTAGAAAGATAAGTGGGTTAATTCCTCCCCACCCCACTAGGATTGCCCCTCCCATCCAGACTCCTGGTGGCAGGGGACAGCGAGTTGGAAGGGAATGGAGCCAGGGAGAGCAGTGAGGAGGCTGTGTTTTAGTCGGTTTCTGTTGCTTATAACTAAATATCTGAAACTGGGTAATTTATAAAGACATGAAACTTATTTCTTACAGTTTCAGAAGCTGGGAAGTCCAAAGCCCAGGGAACACATCTGGTGAGAGCGTTCTTGGTGGGTGACGACTATCCACAGTAACTCAGGCTAACGCGTGGTGAGAATGGGCTGAGAAAGACACCTGACCTTCTCCCTTGCTCTTCTTATGAAGCCATCAGTACCACACCCATCACTCCATGAATGGATCAAGCCATTCACCAGGGCACAGTCCTCACAAGCTAATCACCTCTCAGAGATCCCACCTTTCAAATACCATATTAGATGTCCCGCCCTCTTCCCCTTGTTACAATGGAGATCAAGTTTCCAATACATGAACTTTTTGGGGACACATTTGAGCCATAGCAGGCTTCTTTGCACAGTATGGGTGAAAGATCATTGTGTCCCCATCCAATGCATCCACCGAGCGCTGCCATCTCTTCCCTCCCATCTTTTCTGCCGTCATTTTTATACATTTTACTTCTACATAGGTTATTATCCCCACCATTCATAGTTATTATTTTTGCTTTAAACATTTATATGGGTGTCTTAAGTACCTCCTCCTTATCAAGCCCTGAGGAGAAGGAGAATATTGTAGTTCCTAAAATGTAATCGGGGCAGCCATGTGCTACAAGGGTTGAATGACTTTCTAGAGTCTTCTTCCATGTTGGGAGATCTGGAGAGTTACTGTTCAGGATTATGGGGTCACATCATCACTTCCAGTGAGGAACTGGGGACAAGGACAAGTGCCCACCATCCTCTGTGATGGACAGAGAAATGCAAGGACCCACCAACTGGGTGCAATCTCTGTCACGGATCCCTGCAGTGAGGGAGAAGACGGAGAGGGTGGGAGATAGAGAAATACATGGTCCCAACCTGCCTTGCGAAGGAGTTGAGTGGTGAAAGAGCCAGCACAGGGTAGCCAAAACTTGAATACCTTCATCCCACCTCATATTCCCATTTTACAGATGGGGAAATGAAGGTCTAGAGGAAGGAAGTGAACTGTAATAATTGTTACAAGCTGTCGAATGCTGCCTACTTTATGGACAGTGCCTCTTACAATCCTGGCAGCAACCTGCTGAGGTTGTGTATTAATTTTCTGTGGCTGCTGTAACAAATTACCATAAACATGAAAGATTAAAACAACAGAAATTGATTCTCTCATGGTTTTGGAGGCCAGAAGTATAAAATCATGCTGTTGGCAGGGCCACATTTCCTCCAGAGGCTCTGGGGCAGACCTGCCTCTTCCAGGTCCTGGTGGCTTCAGGCATTCCTTGGCCTGTGGGCTGCATAACTCTAGTCTCTGCCTCAGTCTTCACACAAAGCTCTCCTCTGTGTCCCAAATCTCCCTCTGCCTTTCTCTTATGAGGACACTTGTCATTGGGATGAGCGCCTGCCCAGATAAACCAGGATGTTCTCGTCTTGAGATCCTTTACTTAATCACATCTGCAAAACCCCTTTTCCCAAATAAAGTTCTATCTTGGGGGCCAAGGGGGGTCATCATTCAACCCACTACAGGATGATATAGCTATCATCTCCATTTTACCAAGGAAGACACTGAAGTTCAGAGCGGTGAGGCGACCTTCCCAAGGCCGCGCAGTCAGCAGATGGCAGAGGTGGGCTCCACGGCCATTTCACTTTGCAGTGCACTATATTTAATAGCAGTAATAATATAATAATCATGGCTAACCTACGGACAGCCTTACATATTCCATTACTTGTCTCAAAAACTCTGTGAGGAGGCAGGTATTATCATAATCCCTATTTTAGAGATGAGAAAACAGGAACAGAGAGGTTGATTAATTTTCCCTGGGCCACACAGCCAGTGAGGAGCAGAGCCAGGGTGCTCTCTTCTACTCCGAGACACTGTTTTACCTGCTCCTCCACAGACACCAAAGCTCACCACATACAAACCATCTTTAGATGTTTTCAGTGGTGGCTGGTGAGTTTCAAAAGGGGTTCTCAAAACGAGCCCCTGAGATCTAATGGGGAGAAGGACCACAGGCAAGATTGCAGAGATTTGGAGGGCCGGCCCATGGCTCACTTGGGAGAGTGTGGTGCTGATAACACCAAGGCCACGGGTTCGGATCCCTATATAGGGATGGCCAGTTTGCTCACTTGGGAGAGCATGGTGCTGACAAAATCAAGTCAAGGGTTAAGATCCCCTTACTGGTCATCTTAAAAAAAAAAAAAAAAAAAGATTGCAGAGATTTGGGACATATAGGAACACCTGGAGGAAGGAAAACTTTCTGTGACTTGGGAGGCTTCCATGCCTTTCTCATGCATTCACGTCCTAGCTGGGCACCCCATGGCAAGCTCCCCCTTCCTTCTGCTGATGGCACAGGCATCCTGTGGGCCGGCCAGGCTGGAAACTGCTCTCTCTCTTCCTTGATGTCCCCCCACCCCTTTAGTGACAGACAATTAGTCAATTGGATCCAATTAGTGATTCCTGTGGCTTCTGCTTCCTTGTTTCATGTCCCCCTCTCTTCCCTTGTTACTCATTGCTACTGTTAGTGGTCATAGCTCATCATTCCTCCCAGGGGACAGGAATAGCCTCCCATCTAAACTTTCTATACTTCTCCATCCTTCCCACTGGCTGCCTGCAGGACTCACTTGGTCAAAGAACTCTATGCCCTACTCGTGGCCATTCAACCCTTCCCCCATGTGCACTTCCCCACCTCATGCCATTCTACAAAGGTATCTTCTCTCTCATTTTTGCTGCATCTTAAATGCCTGGACTGCCATTTATTCATTATTCATTCATTCATTCATTCATTCATTCAGTCTGCATGCATTCATTCAGTCATGCACTCATGCATGCATGTATGCATTCAACATGTATTAGTTGATTGCCTACTGTGTGTCAGGTACCAGGAAAACAGATGTAGGCGTCTGCACAGCCCTTCCATTTGGGTGGGGGTTTCAACTAAATAAACTCAGGAAAGAAAATAAAACAATGAGTAATTATGATAAAAGATATGAAGGGAAGAAATGAGGAGTGAGAGAAATAATGCAGAGAGTGGGGCGCCTACTTTAGTTAGGGTGGTCAGGGAAGGGTGCTGACGAGGTGCTGGAAGGTTCTTGAGATGCCTGAGTGAGGTGATGCAGGAAAGCCCTTAGCGGTGCTAGATGCAGAGTAAATGAGCAGTAAGTGTTAGACATGATCACTCACTGATTCATTCATTCAACAAATATTTTTTGAAGGCTAATTGTTACAATCATGTGCATAGATATCAGTAATCTCAGTCCCAGGTGGAGAATGGTCTATGCTCCCTCAAACCCATTAGCATTCTTAGTTTTGCCCTTCAGATAAGTAAGCCAAATAAATCCATACCCAAAGTGGGAATTAATCCTGTTTTCTTCCCCAACACTCCACAAAAGATAAATGTCCCAGAGGCCCTGCTAATGAATTCTACTGCTTTTCTCCTCGGTCTTATCGTTGGCATAGCTGTCTCTGCCTTGCTTCTCTTACAGCTCCTTTCAGAAGATTTTGATTTTGCAGTTGCCCTGAGGTGGGCCTCTTGTCTCTGAATGTAGGCAGTACTGACAGGTCTTTTGGGGAAACTGCAAAGACAGCCTCTGATTTTGAACAGGACAGACCTCTGTATCTCCCTAACTTACAAACACCTCGGATTCTGTCAGTGTCCTCAAAGCACCATTTCCTTCTGGACCGCTGACTTGCTATGGGAGGGTTACTGGGGAATTCTGGATCCCAGGCCCTGGCATTCTAATTGAATCAAACAAGTGAAATGAAGAGGAAAAGAGACTCATGGATATCTTTATGGAAAACAAAAACCAAATTCCCCACATGAAGAGAATGACGTGGTATTTGAACGGGAGCCTAGAACTCCTATGAGATTGCGTGGGAGCTGACATTTCAGAAACCAGACCCCCACCCCCACTCCAGTGCCCTCCACATCGGACTCTGCTTTAACTGCAGCCTCTCATGACATCACCTCAAAAGCTTAGGTTGGCAAGACAGAGAACAGGACATCCCAGCAGGTGACATTGTGCCAACAGATTAGTTTTCTTAGATAAATTCTTATGCCTGACCCTGAGCTTCTCCTCACGGACCCTAATTCTTTTTCAATTGGTATTTGGTGAATGTTGCTTATCTTGGGCTTTGGAGAAGCTTCTTGGAATTTATGTCCTGTATACATTTGCCATTAGACCTTGGAGTTCGGTAAAAAATTTCTAGTTTCTGTGGAATTGTTTAGTTTAGTTCAACACACATTTACTGAGTATCTTCTCAGTGCCAGGCCCCATGCTAGCTGTGGGGGATACAGAGACATGGTCTATGCCTACAAGATGCCCATGATGAAATGGGGGAGATAAGTCAGCATCATGGTGGCCCTGCCTGGGGCAGAGTGGGAGAATGGCTCATGAGGAATGCCTTCCTAGGGAGGTGGTATCTGTAGTGGGTGGAATAGCATCTCCCCCAAATTCATGTCTACCTGCACCCTCAGTATCTGACATTATTTAGAAATAGTCTTTGCAGATATAATTAAAGTAAGGATCAAGATGAGATCATATTGAATCAGGGTGGGCCCCAGATCCTAATGAGAGACAGAAAAAGACACACAGAGAAGAAGACCATGTAAGGATGGAGGCAGAGACTGGAGTGATGTGGCTGCAAGCCAGGGACTGCTGGCTGCCCCCCAGAGGCTGGGATGAGGCAGGGAAGGATTCTTCCCTAGAGCTTTTGGAGGGAGCATGATCCTGCCAACACCTTGATTTTGAACCTCTAGCCTCCAAAACTGAAAGAGAATAAATTACTATTGTTTTAAGCCACCCAGTTTATGGCACTTTGTAACAGCAGCCACAGGAAATGAATACAGCATCTGAGTATCTGGGAGGAGCCCTGAAGGGCAGCTGCCAAAGTCCCACCACCTGCTTTCCTGTCCCTTTTCCTGTTCAAGCACCTCAAGCTGGAAAATGCCATTGCTCTGTAAACGCAGGAGCTGCATTCCCTTCCCTGTTCATTCCATGATTCCCCTGTTTAGCGTGATGCTCGGCATATAAGGGTTTCTGGTCAATATTTGTTGAATGCATGAGTGGCTGAGTGTGTGAATGAATGAGTGAACAGAAGAGTAGTCAGCAAGCTGCAGGAAATGGGTCCTCAGGTGTGAAAAGCCATGGTAGCACGAGGGGAAGGGGCTACTCCAGGTCAGCAGGGTCAATTTCTGTTCCTTGGTAAAAGTGGATATTTACGGAAGCTTTTCACTGGGGACGTGCAGGCTAGACAGTAATAAGTGCAGAGAGGAGTCCTGAATAGGAAGGAGGACAGGGAACTTAGCTGTGTCCATTGCCCACTTTATGCTCGACACTGTACTGTGTCCCTTAATGTTCATTATCTTCCTTGTCCTTGAAACAATCCCTCAGGGAGGTCAAAATTTCCTCATTTTCCATATGTGGAAGCTGAGGCTCAGAGAGGCGAAGGAACTTGTCAGAAGCGGTACTGCCAGTGAGTGGCAGAACCCGAACCGGACTCAGCTCTCTCTTGCTCCCACGTTTGTTCTCTGTAGTGCAATGTGTTTCCACTAACAGCGAATTGCTGGGAAGGGAAAGTGGTCAAGATCCCTGAGGATGAAAAAGTCTTTAATGCCTTCCAAGTTCAGATGACGGGAGGGGGAGTTCTCTGAAATACGATCCAGGAAGATGGAGCACTTGAGGAGTGCTGGGGATCCGGATCATCTGAAGGCTACATGCTGTCAGCTGGTCTCCAGCAGGGTTCTCTGGCAAAAAATCAATGTCATTTTCTCGCCTACTGTTTTTCATATACTCTGGGAAATACTGTTCATCGTTCTCAGATCTGTAATAATAATTATTAAAGGTTAGACACCATCTGGGTTCCTACCTGATTTAACCCCCAATTTGTCTGATTTTAAGAGGTGGGGACTTTGGGACTTTGTGTTGTTCACCGGAGAGAGTGTATACTGAAGAGGAACAGGCAGAATCAAAAGGGAGGGACCACCTGGAGGGACAGTGGAGGTTCCAGGCTGGGGCTCACATTCAGAACCACCACTGTTCATGGGCAGAGAATCAGGAAGGGTGTGAATGGGTTGGGGCCAGGATTCCAGTGACTCTGTCCTGCTGGGGCCATGCCGCTCTGCCAGGGGATAGCCCAGTGCAGTATCTGGCTGGCCACGTGCTGGCCCGTGGATGGTGTGATGGTGCCCTCCGCATAGCCAGCTGGGGAGGGTGGTCCAGTGCTGAAGACCAGCAGCCGCCTCCATGCCCCGCTCCCTGCTGCCCATGCTCGCTCCCCCTTCTCACCCCTCTCTTGCTATTTTCTCTTCTGCTCCCCCCTCTTTTTTCTGCTCACCCTTTTATGGTGGGACAGGGTGTTTGATATTTTTGTTAGTTTTTTCCTACTTAACCCTTGCTCCATTTCATGTCTCCCCCTTCCCTTGTCGCCTGTTGAAACGATTAGTCAGGCCATTTGAGATTTTTTACTTAAAACGTTTCAGTTTAACTGCTGCTGGCTAAATATATTTTGACCTCAACTATGGACTGTGACTCTCTACTGAGCCAGTGAGGCCAAGGAAGCCTTGTGCCAAAACTGTCTCTTTCTTTGTGGACTGAGAGTATCCTCAGCAGACTAGAAAGGATCCCTCATATGCTGAGATCTGTTTTGCCATCCAATTCAGATATTGGGTTTGGCCAGTGGGATGCACAGGTGTGTGGACTCATCTGCCACAAAAGCATCTTATCGACACACAAAGCTGGCCTGTGACGTGTTTCCAAATGCTTGGCCCTGGTGCCATCTTCTTTATAAATCCCAGGAGGCAATTTACATAGTTCTTCTGTGCCCCAGGGAGACTTGGACAAGCTTCAAGTAGCTACAAACTCTGGCAGCTTATTAAATATTGGACTGAGAGGAAAGGAAAAGAAAGTCAAGGCATTAGCAAGTCTCTGACAGAAGGATTTTTGGAGACCACAGAAGGAGTTTATAGATGCAAGACACCCACTTCTAAATCCAGGCAAATAGACCTTTCTGGATAAAGCCCCCAAACCTCCAGGCTTGATCCAGGTAGGCCAGGACACTTCACACCCCACCAGGACTTGCCAAACCCAGTTCAGGGTGGGAAAGGGAAGAAAAGAGGGAAGGACAGGATGAGCCCTTTGCAGAGGATCTGGAGCACTTAATACAGTGCCTGCGCACACTTACCTCTGAGTTTGAGATGGAGACCCCAGCGACATGTAGATTCAGCCTCTTTATTCAGTTATTAATTCTTCGATTCATTCAACATGAACAGGACAGATATTAGCAATCTAGAGGGGAAGACAGCAACCAAACAGGTGTAGAATGAGGGTCACAAGGGGGAAGTGTAGGGGTCAGTGGGGGCATTTCATAGGTGAGCTGACCCAAGCCAGGCTGGGGAGGGGTACATGGAAGGCCCCCTTGATGCAGGATTTTTAATCCGGTGTGTAGGGTATAAATTGAAATTACGTCAGGTGAAGGGGTAAGAGGGAAGTGAATCAGGTAGTGATTCCTCCTGAGGCAGGAGTGAAAGAGAGTATGGAATAATCACGAATGGCTGGAGCAGAGAAGATGAGGCCAGAGCGGGAGGCAGGTGTTGGGCTGAGGAAGGCCCTAGAGGCTAGATCAAAGATTGGGGGCTTTATGCAAATGTCTCCAGGAACCATTCAAGCAGGAGAGTAACGTGATCAGGTTTGTGTTTTGAAAAGGTGACTGGGCCGCGCCTGTGGCGCACTCGGGAGAATGGTGCACTGGGAGCACAGCATCGCTCCCGCCACGGGTTCGGATCACAGCGCTCACTGGCTGAGCGCGGTGTGGCTGGTCTCCAAAAGGACAAAAAAAAAAAAAAAAAAAAAAAAAAAAAAAAAAAAAAAAAAAAA